CCCCAAAACCCCAAAACCCCTACATTCAAATCTTTTGATATGTGGTTATCAAATTTTTATCTAAATAATATTAAAATAATAATGTAAAGCAATTTGACGTCACAATAATAATCTAATGGTCAGAGAGTTTTTGTCATTGGAAATGGTATGACTAAATTCTACAAACCAGGAAAGCATGATTATGACTATCCCGATCTAGCCAAGCTAGCAATTGAAAGATCTCTAAGAGATGCTAACATCAAGTATGACGAGGTTTAAGCTGCTTATGTTGGGTATGTTTATGGAGATTCAACTTGTGGTCAGAGGGCTGTCTACACTGTAGGAATGACAGGAATTCCAATAGTGAATGTTAACAATAACTGTTCCACTGGCAGTTCTGCATTGTATCTTGCTCACAATGCAGTTAAGAGTGGAATGAACGATTGCGTAATGGCTTTGGGATTCGAAAAGATGTTTACTGGTTCATTACAAACATTTTTCCCAGATAGAATTAGTCCACTTGACAAGTTTTTTATTAATGATAATGAGATGAGAGGAGACTCTAATTCACCATTTGCTCCCAGACTTTTCGGTAATGCTGGTCGTGAGCATATAGAAAAGTATGGAACTAAACCAGAGCATTTTGCTAAGATTGCATGGAAAAATCACAAGCACTCAGTTAATAATCCCTACAGTCAATTTAGAGATGAATATACTTTGGAATAGATTATTAAATCCCCAAAGATCCATGAACCTTTAACCAAACTTTAGTGCTGTCCTACTTCTGATGGTGCTGCTTGCGCTATTCTTGCTAGTGAAGCATACGTAAAGCAACATAATCTCCAAGATCAAGCAGTAGAGATTCTTGGCATTACTATGACAACTGATTATAGATCGACTTTCGATGATAAATCTTCAATAAAGCTAATTGGATCCGAAATGGCAAAGAAATGCGCTCAAAGTGTTTATAAGCAAGCAGGAATTTCACCAAAAGACGTTTAAGTAGTAGAACTTCATGATTGCTTCTCAGCTAATGAACTATGCACTTATGAAGCACTTGGTCTCTGTCCAGAGGGTAAAGCTGGTGAATACATTGACAAGAATGAATTTACTTATGGTGGAAAGTATGTAGTGAACCCCAGTGGAGGACTAATTTCTAAAGGTCATCCATTAGGGGCTACTGGCCTAGCCCAATGCGCTGAGCTCTGCTGGTAAGTTAGAGGAATGGCTGACAAGAGACAAGTTAAGGATGCTAAAATTGCATTATAACATAATCTTGGACTTGGTGGAGCATGTGTTATAGTTGCTTACAAGAAATATTAGCCAGGATATCAAAAGAATCTTAGGAAGGATTAATCTGCTGATCCAGCGATTCTTGAGAAGCTAGAAGCTGCCCAAGAGGAAAGACCTAAACTCTGATCAATCACAAGTTGAAAGGATAAAAACCAACAATTATATCAAAACTTATATTTTAATCATTTATTTGAATAAATGTCAGAGCTGCGGGGTTTTGGGGTTTTGGGGTTTTGGGGTTTTGGGG